TAACGAGTGGCCCAGGCAAAATGAAAGGCTTGGGGTTCCATGGTGTTCAAAAACGCAGCTGGACCCATGGTCTGCTTTCCAGCCCAGGTTTTGGATTCTGTCACATGTTTTGGGTTCTGTTGTGTTCTTGGCTCTGTCCCAAGTTCTTAGTGTCAGTATTTTGAGTTTTATCCCTTGTTCTAAACTCTTGTTTGTAGCTACATGTTTTTCATATTCTTGGTCCTAACTTATCATGTTCTAGACCCTGGCCATTAGGTCCTCTGTTCTAGGATCTCTTGTCCCACTTTGGGGTTCTGGTCCACATATTGAACCCTGCTCCATTTTGTGACTTTTATTTTTTATTTTTTGAGATGGAGTCTCACTCTGTCGCCCAGGTTGGAGTGCAGTGGTGTGATCTTGGCTCACTGCAACCTCCGCCTCCCAGGTTCAAGTGATTCTCCTCCCTTAGCCTCCTGAGTAGCTGAAACTACAGGCACATGCCACCATGCCCGGCTACTTTTTGTTATTTTTAGTAGAGATGGGATTTCACCATGTTGGCCAGGATGGTCTCGATATCCTGACCTCGTGATCCACCCATCTCAGCCTCCCAAAGTGTTGGGGTTACAGGCGTGAGCCACTGCACCCAGCCTTGTGACCTTTATTCTATGTCCTGTGTCTGGGTTGTGTCCTGAATTTTCCCTCAAATTCTAAGTCACACTTTATGTTACCTTAATATGTCCTGGGCTCTACCCTGCTCTGTTTTTATATTTCTGGTGCTATATTCTGGGTCTTGTCCCTCTTCTTGTGCTTATCAATTAGTCTAGGCCTCACCAGTGTCCCTACTGTAGGAAATGTGGTCCTCTTAACACCTCTGCTCTGTTTCAGTAACTCTCTGTCCTGGTGTGGTGAGGAATCCTACATCCAGAACATGGAGCCAGGGGCTAAGGTAGTGACTTGGACCTGAGGGCATTGGGAGGTCCCAAGGGAAAGACAAGGGTGGGATTGGACTGAGCAGAGGTGATCAAGGGTGAAGATAGGGAGTTTGTATTGTGGCACCTGCCACCCTGCTCCATCCTTATTCATTCCTGTCCCTTTCCCCAACTTGTCAGTGCTTTGCAGTCCGCTCTCTGGGCTGGGTAGAGGTACCTGAAGAGGACCTGGCACCGGGGAAGAGCAGTATTGCAGTCAATAACTGCATCCAGCAGCTGGCCCAGACCCGCAGCCGGAGCCAGCCTCTAGATGGTGCCTGGGGTGAGGTGAGTTGGCTCGGCCCCTCAATGGGTTGGGCCCAGGGCCCAGCAGAGGTAGCTATCCCTGAATTGCCTATTTCTCATGGCAATGACCTTTATCTGAGCTCTGAGCTGACCTCTGTCCTTGGCAGGGCCAGAACATGCTGATGATCCTGAAGAAGGATGCCATGAGCCTAGTGAATCCCCTGGACCACAGTCTGATCCACTGCCAGCCTCTGGTGCACATCCGTGTGTGGGGCGTGGGGAGCTCCAAGGGCCGGTGAGGATGCCTACATCCCCCAAGCGAGAGCTCATCTCCCTCCCTGCTGCAGGCTGTGATCCCCACTGATGCTGATCACCAGTACTTGAACCCTGGACACAGATCCTCTGATGTGGACCCAGGACTGCTTCCCCTGCCTGGTCCAGCCCTGGTTGGGGAGGGTGGGCCCAGCTCAGCAGGGACAAATGGGGGAGAGTCCGAGAGGCTGGGCTGATTCCCTTCTGTGCTCCCACATGCTTCCGGAACAGTGACAGGTGAGTGAAAACCAGGTATCCTGAGCCCCATTCCTGACCTCCCTACTCCATCCCTGCCATATCCCTAGCCTGACTTTCCAGCCTCCTGCAGGCTCCTGCCTCTAACCAGCCTCTACCCCAGCCCCATCTCTGCCCCTGCTAGGGACTTCGCTTTTGTGGCAAGTGACAAAGATAGCTGTATGCTCAAGTGCCATGTGTTTCGCTGTGATGTCCCTGCCAAGGTCATTGCCAGTGCCCTACATGGGCTTTGTGCCCAGGTAAGGGTCAGGGGTGGGGCAGGGAATGTGGGTAAGGGGTTGGAATGTGGGTAAGCTTCCAAGGTAGTTGGGGTGGTATTGGCCCTTTTACCCTAATTCCCCTCTCTCCCTGTGGCTCATGCTGGCTTCATTGTGTTTTAGATCTTGTCAGAGCGAGTAGGGGTCAGTGGTGATGCCTCTTGCTGCTCTCCAGACCCCATCTCCCCTGAAGACCTGCCACGGCAAGGTATGGGAAGGGGAGTCCCGCATTGCTGCATTGGGCTGCTTTGGTGCCGCTTTGTGGGTGGGCAATTTCTGGTTATTTAGTACTTCTGTGGATAAATTTCTGAGGTGTCTGGTCTCAGGGATCCCAAGCCACAAGCTGGAGGAGCATCTATGAGCCTTTTCTTCTATCAGCACCAGCTCTGACCTGAGTCCTGGCCATTCAGAAGGGTGGGGAAAATGGTAATTGAGAGAGCTGCCAGGCCGACTTGGTGTGTATATTTCAGTGGAGCTGCTGGATGCAGTAAGCCAAGCTGCTCAGAAGTATGAAGCACTGTACATGGGGACACTGCCAGTCACCAAAGCCATGGGTGAGGACTGAGGGGGCTGCATATAGTGGGCTGTGTGAGGCAAGGGGAAGGTGAGTGAGGTGGGGCCCACTACCATTTCTCAGAGTCCTCCCATAGCCTTGTTATGGCCTGGGATCTACCAGTCTTCCCAACTCAGAATTCTAAGCCTTGCCCCAACTATCCTATTCCCTATCTCTGAATCCCAAGTTAGTGAGAGGGGGCTAGACACTCCCTGCAGACTCTTTCTTTTACAACTGGGAGACACGCTGGGCATGTTCCCCCAGGCATGGATGTGCTGAACGAGGCCATTGGTACCCTCACCACCAGGGGGGACCGGAATGCCTGGGTCCCAACCATGCTCAGTGTGTCTGACTCTCTCATGACTGCACACCCCATTCAGGTACCAGAAGAGGGTGAAGTTGGGGGCTTTGGAGGGGTGAGCAGGGATGCTGAGGGGTCACTGCTTGCTGCCGGAAAAGTTCAGTGGGTCTGGCCAGTGCTTGGCCCTCTAGTGACTAGGCCTGGTGTGGGCAGGCAGAGGCCAGTACAGAGGAGGAGCCATTGTGGCAGTGCCCTGTGCGCCTTGTGACATTTATTGGTGTTGGCCGCGACCCACACACCTTTGGCCTCATCGCTGACCTGGGCCGTCAGAGCTTCCAGTGCGCAGCCTTCTGGTGCCAGCCCCATGCAGGGGGACTCTCCGAAGCTGTGCAGGCTGCCTGTATGGTGAGTCATGGGTGGGAATGGGTGGGTGGGATTGCCCTGCAGCTGCTCTCCGCTGTTTACTGGGGCTCAGGGTCGGCAGCCTCTTTAGAGATCACAAACCTGGGCTGATTCTGCATCATTAATGTTTTGGCCCTCATGTTGTTTTTAGTAAGTTTTAATTAGTTGCCAATACTTAAAGGCCAGGACATTTCACATAATAATCGCTATTCTTGTTTTTCTTAAAATATCAAGAGCTCTGGCACTCAGTTCACACGTGTAAATGTCAGCATGCAGCCAGATTTGTGCAGAAGCTGTGCCCTAAAGAGTTGGCATTGTTCCTGTTTGTCCCATTTAGGTTTATTTCCTGGCATCTGTGGGCATTTGACTGTGGGTTGCTTACACTTTGTTAGTTCAGTTTGCTCATTCATTCAACAAATATGAGTGCCTACAGGGTCCCAGGCACCATAGTTTACCCTGAGAATTTAAGTGTTATAGAGGGCACAGCCCTTGCCTTCACAAAACACTTAGGATAGTGCCAAGATAGACCAGAAATAAGTTGTACACCACTGGTTAATGGAAGAGGTGGCCCCTTTAGGGGTCAGGAAGGCTACCTGTAAGAGGTGATAGAAAACTGACAGTCCAAGAGGGAAGTTAGCCAGGTGAAGGGGAGTGGGGCAGGTGTACCAAACACAGGGAACCTTAGCTGTGAAGGTGAGAGATATTAGTGGATGAGAGTATCTGAAAGAATCCAGTGTATCTGGCATGCAAGGGGGATGTAGTAAGAGATGAGATCAGAGAGAATGACAGAAGCCAGGTTATGGGGGACCTCATAGGTCAGGGTGATGAGTTTATCTGGAGGCACTAGGAATCACTGAAGCCCCACAGTGAAGTCAGGGTTATGTATTAGGATGATCACTTAAGCTATAGTATGGGTAAAGATTTGGAGGACATGAGAGGAGGTAGGAAGGCCAATTAGGACGCCTTTGAGCCATTCAGATGAGATGACTGGGAGCAGTTGCATTGGGGCTGGAGTTTGAGTTGTACACCCTTACCCTCAACTAGGGAATCTGCTTTGCCAGGGACTAGTCCCCACCAGTGAGAGATGGAAAAGAGCCAACATAGTGGTACATGTAATTAAGAGTTTAGGCTCTGCAATCGGAGAACTAGGTTTGAATGCCATTTCTGCCTTTCTCTGGCTGTGTGACCTTGGGCAAGTCATATACTCTCTGAATCTCAATTTCTTCATTTGCAAAACAGGGATAATAACCCCTCATAAATAACTGAATTATACAAAGCACTTAGCAGTGTCCAGCCCGCCCTCCTTAAGTGTCTGATACAGTTTCATGATTTTGTTATTGAGCTACCTGGGAATGCTCTAGAAACTCCACATGTGGCCGACTACCAACCTTGTTATCAGACAGAAGCTTTGAGCAGTTCCCTGTCCAGCAGAAGCTTTCAGGGAGTCTAGGGGCAGAAAGTAGCTGGATCCTCACATTCCCCTTCTCCCTAGGTTCAGTACCAGAAGTGTCTTGTGGCCTCTGCAGCTCGAGGCAAGGCCTGGGGTGCCCAGGCCCGTGCCCGCCTGCGGCTCAAGCGGACCAGCTCCATGGATTCCCCAGGAGGTCCCCTGCCCCTCCCCCTGCTCAAAGGAGGGGTTGGCGGTGCAGGGGCAACCCCTCGAAAGCGGGGTGTCTTCTCTTTTCTTGATGCCTTCCGGCTGAAACCCTCTCTGCTCCACATGCCCTAAACTTACCTGGGAAGGCTGGGGAAGGAGGCTCTGGGTCCATGCCTAACTCTGTACCCTTTTATTCCTCAAGGCCTATAGCCTGTCACCCCTTGAAGCCTTCTCTGCCTGTCCCTCTGATCCTTGTCCACCGTCTGTTTATTGCCCAATTTATTGTTTATATGGATGACTGGGAGGCACTGCACCACAATGTAGGACCCTGGCTTCCCTTTCCTTGGGTCCTTGTGTTCCTTGCCCCTGTCCAACCCTGGACAGTTGGCTCTACCTCAGTAACACTTTATAGCAAAATCAGTGCAAATAAAAATCCCTCAGTGACCTCACTGGATGTGAGTATATTGGGCCTGGGACAGGGCTGGGGGCTAACAACCTGTGTGAGATGAGCGTCTTTGTGTCTGTGCTTGATGTTGGTGGCTCTCTGTAGTCACATGACAGCATGGGTGTGCTGGAGAACTCACTTCATTCATTCAACAAACATATTTTCTAAGGAGTTCCCTGTGCCACGCACTAATCTGGGCACTGGGGATGTAATAAAATAGGCAAAGTCCCACCTTCTGAGACTGTCAGGGAAATGAACAAGAGTCAAATAAGACAGAAGATGTGATGTAATATAACTAGGAAATCTTAGAGGGTTGTAGGGTTGTGGGAGCTCAAGTAAGACACTTAACCTGGCCTGAGACATTCCAGAAGGCCTCCTGAAGAACTGACATCTGAGCTGAGAACTGAAGGAAGATGAGTACTAGTTAGTGAGGCTACCTGACGTGAATGTGGAGATTGTGCAGGGCAATGCAAGAGGAGGCTGTAGAAGTCAACCTGGCTAGATCGCAGCGGGGCGTATGTGGGGCAGGATCTTCTGGTGGTTCGAACTTGCTCCTGAGAGGATGAGGGCTCCTAGAGCGCTGGCTCCTGGACAACAACCTCCTTTGGTGCCTTGTGACCGGGCCCTGATGGTTCATTAGATGGAGCCTTCGAGTCTTAGGGAGTTGCCGCAGGGTCCCCACAGCAGCTCCCGACGGCTGTGAACGAGCATCCATCCTCCAGGGCTCCCGGCAAACCGCCTGGCCTCGGACGCGGCTCAACTGTGAGCGGCCGTCCCGGAAATGACGCGCTGCCCCGCTGGCCAAGCGGAAGTGGAGATGGCTGAGCTGTACGTGAAGCCGGGTGAGCGCGGCCGACTGGCTAGGGCACTAGGTCCTCGCCCCGGCCTAGGCTGGGGGCGGTTGCGGCGCGGAGTCTGGACCCTCTGTCTCCCCCAGCCCCAATATGAACTATCAGTGGAGTTCCGGGCTCGCTTCACACATCCCTCGCCTCCGCAGGCAACAAGGAGCGCGGCTGGAACGACCCGCCGCAGTTCTCATACGGGCTGCAGACCCAGGCCGGCGGACACAGGCGCTCGCTGCTCACCAAGAGAGTCGCCGCACCCCAGGATGGATCCCCCAGAGGTGCGTGGGGCCCCTGTGCTCGGAGACCGACGGGGAATGGGGGGGTGTAAGAGATGAGCCTGTCTGGAAGGCTTTTTTCTCTTCCCCGAGGGTTCCTTATGGAGAGAGGTTATGGGGCTCCAGTAAAGGTCTCAGGGCAGGTGCTTTTCCGAGCCCCTTCTCTGCTGCTCAGGTTAATAAATGGTGTATTGATTTAAAAAGACTCTATTTTTTCATCCTAGGTGATCTCATCCAGACCCGTGGCTTTTAATATAGTTTTAATCCTCAAGTTATTTATCTTTGTTAACCTATACCTCTTCCTGTTCATAGTGGCATATTCATTTGTCCATTCTGTCTTCACTTAGGTATATGATAATCATCAGACTTCACAGTTTTTCATTCATTTAATCACTATTATTTACTGAGCACTTACTATAAGTCAGGCACTGTTTAAGGGCCAACTAGACAGCAGTGAGAAAAAAGATCTCTGCTTTCAGGGAGTCCATGTTGCAGCACTGGAGATGGGCTGAAAGATTAAATAGTGGTGAGGGTGCTACAGAAAAATAAGCGGTGATGTAATATGACTGGGTAACGAGGTGTCTGAGGGGCTGATATTTAAGCCACACAAAAAGCATTCCAAGCAAAAGAAACAGCTGCAAAAGGAGTAAGTTTGGCCAATTCAGAAACTGATGAAATACAGAGTGACTGGCTACAGCCACTTTGTAAACCAGGATAGTGGGCTTTGTAAACCAGGATAAGGAGTTTGTATTTTAGTCTACATAAAGTTGGAAGCCATTGAAAAGTTTAAAGTAGAGGAGAGCCACCTTTCCCCCTGAGAATTTTCCAGGCCATTAAATGGGCTGTGCTGTGGCCTCCATAAAGGGGCTCAGGTTTGGTTCTTTCAGTGGCCCTCCATTCTCCACACCCTTTTTGCTGTAGAAGAAGAATGATACAAGGCTTGGTTTCTTAAACTCAGCAGTATTGATAGGTTGTGGCCAGATAATTCTTTGTGAGGGACTTTTCTGTGTGTTTATCAGCAACTCTGACTTCTATCCAATAGATGCCAGTAGCATCCACCCAGTTGTGATAGCCAAAAGTGTTTCCAGACATTTGCCCTGTGGGCACTATCTTCCTAGCTTGAGAACCAGGGACTGATTGACATTTTGAAAAGATCACTGTGTGAAAACAAGATTTTAGGGGAGTGGAAAGACAAATTACAGCTATTATGGTAATATAGGCAAGATTTAATGATTTGCATAAGGGTAGTAGGAGTTAGATGGATATGAGATGGAGAAGGTCAGTAGGAATGAGTAGATTAGGAGGAATCCATATAACTAAAATTTTTTGCTTGATATAGGAAGACTGGGGGATAGTGGTTTTGGGGAGGGGGAGTTTTTTTGGGGGGCCCATGTGAAATTTAGGCTGTTATTTTTCGGGAAAAGTCTAAGCCAGAATTAGAGAAATAAGTCACCATTACAAGGATGGTATTTGATGTCATGCGCTTGAATAAGGCCAGGGACAGAGCCGTAGGGCACTCTAGCATTTCAAGGTTGAGAAGGAATCATCAAAGGAGATTGGGAAGTGGCCAAAGAAGAAAATAGAAGAGGCCAGGCGCAGTGAGTCACACCTGTAATCCCAGCACTTTGGGAGGCCAAGGCGGGCAGATCACCTGAGATAAGAAGTTCAAGACCAGCCTGGCCAACATGGCGAAACCCTGTCTCTACTAAAAATATAAAAATTAGCCATATATAAATGGGCCTGTAATACCAGCTACTTGGGAGGGTGAGGCAGGAGAAACACTTGAACCTGGGAGGCGGAGGTTGCGGTGAGCCGACATCATGCCACTGCACTCCAGCCTGGGTGACAAAGCGAGATTCTGTGACAAAACCAAAACCAAAATAAAAAAATAGGAGAGTGTAAAGACATGAATCAATAGTGATGAATGCTGCTGAGACATCAAGATAGAGACAAGGGGCCAGGCGCAGTGGCTCACACCTGTAATCCCAGCACTTTGGAGGCTGAGGCAGGTGGATCACGAGGTCAGGAGTTCAAGACCAGCCTGGCCAACATGGTAAAACCCCCTCTCTACTAAAAATACAAAAAGTAGCCAGGTATAGTGGCGGGTACCTGTAATCCCAGCTACTCAGGAGGCTGAGGCAGGAGAATCATTTGAACCTGGGAGGTGGAAGCTGCAGTGAGCTGAGATCATACCATTGCACTCCAGCCTGGGACTCCATCTCAAAAAAAAAAAAAAAAAAGAAAAAAAGGAACCACTAGATTTGACAAACATAGCAGTCACTAGTGATCATAACAAAAGTAGCCTGCATTAGTGAGAACAGCAACTCAGCTGGAATGGGCTGAGGAGAGAATGTGAAAAGTAGGGAGAGTGACTATAAACAGTTCACTCAAATTCTGTGGAGATAAGAAATGAGACAGTATCTGAAAATGGAACGTGAAGGGAGTGTTTTGATAGTAATATGCTAGAGCATGTTTGTACGCTAATGGGATGATTCAGTAGAGAGGGAGAACTGATGCAAGAGAAGATAGTTACAGTAGGGAAGTCTAGAGAAGACAAGAGAGGCTAGGATGCAGAGTACAGCTGGAAAGATGGCTTTTGATAGAAGCAGGAACGTTTTCATCTATTACAAGAGGAAGAAAAGTGGCCACAGATGCAGGTGGGTTAGGAGGACTGGTGGTGGGAAGATGAGACAGTTCCCGTTTAATGACTTCTACTTTTCAATGAAACATCAGCCAGTGTCAGAAGAAGATAGCAGGGAAAGGAAGAGAAGTTCTGAAGAGTGGAAAAAATGAGCCAAAATGTCCGGGCAGTGTTTGGTACCTTTTAAAATCTGTGGCCATGAATTTAAAGCGTCAGCATGGCTCTATTTTCCCTCCCAAGTGCAAGCAAGTTGGGTTTAACCAGGAAAGTGGGACAATGGGAGGAGATAAAGGAGGTAAAAATATTTATAAGGGGGTGACCACGTTAATGTACATGGAAATCAAAGTAGCTGAGCTGGAAGGGGTAAGGGGGGTGATCAGATTTTGGAGGTGATAGTATTGTGAACAAGGCAGGGGGATGAGAGGCTGATGTAGGGTGGGAAAAAATGATCACTGGAGGTGAAGAGGTCAACTGTAACGCCAAATTATTAAATGAATCAATCATCATTGTGGATGTTGGTACCTAAAAGTAAACTTTTGACTTTTCCAGTCTTTCTGTTAGTGGTTCCCATTACTAAAGTCAGAAACTAAGAGTCACCTTGACTTCTCTCTTCCTCACTCCCAATCCACTCCTGTTGCTACTTCCTCTTAAGTAAATCTCAGACTACTCCATTCCTCTCATCTACTCTTTTACCCTAGTCCATGCCAGCATTATCTCTTTCCTGAACTATTCAGCCTCTCAACTGGTGTTCCTGCCACCATTGTTGACCTGTTTTCATCAGTTTTTCACGGAGCATACATGTTTGAGAATAAGTCTGATCACATCACCCCTTGCTTTTATAAACCTGCAGTGGCTTCCCAGTACTATTGACTCAAGACCAAACTCTTCCAAAACCCCACAGGGTCTGGACCCTCTGCTTACCTCTCTAACGATAGCTCATACTACTTTCTTCAGTGATAATAGTTTTTAGCCCTACAGGCCTCATTTTTGTCTCTTGAACAAGTCAAAAGTTTTCCTGCTGCTTGGGCACTGCTCTCACCTCTACCTAGTACATGTTCTTTCAACTCTTTATAGCTGCATCTATCTCATCCATTAGTTCTCAATAAAAACAGCTCAGTTTGTACTTTTTGCTACACACTAGCAACTGTATTTTTTTTTTTTTTTTTTTTTTTGAGACGGAGTCTCGCTCTGTCGCCCAGGCTGGAGTGCAGTGGCCGAATCTCAGCTCACTGCAAGCTCCGCCTCCTGGGTCTACGCCATTCTCCTGCCTCAGCCTCCCGAGTAGCTGGGACTACAGGCGCCCGCCACCTCGCCCAGCTAGTTTTTTTGTATGTTTTTAGTAGAGACAGGGTTTCACTGTGTTAGTCAGGATGGTCTCGATCTCCTGACCTCATGATCCGCCCGTCTCGGCCTCCCAAAGTGCTGGGATTACAGGCTTGAGCCACCGCGACGGGCCCTTTTTTTTTTTTTTTTTTTTTTTTTTTAAAGAGGGTCTTACTATGCTGCTTAGGCTGCTCTCAAACTCCTGGGCGCAAGCGATCTTCCTGTCTCAGCCTCCCAGTGTGCTGGGATTGGAGGCATGTGTCACCACACTCAGCCTGTACCTATATTCCTAATCTTCATTGCAACCTTGTGAAATAAGTGGCATTATATACATCCCCATTTTACGGAAGAGGAACCTAAGCTCTGGTTGAAAGTAACTTGCTGAAAGTCACATAGCAAGTGAGCTCAGATAAACTTAAATGTACCTCAGAAGGCCTTCCTGAACACTTAGTCTAGATAGGTTCTCCCATTTCTCTTTATTGCATAAACCATTTTATTTCTTGGTAGCATGTAACATAATTTAGTAATTTTGTGTTTTTTTCCCTCCCTCTAGAATTAAGCTTTCTGAGGTCAGGAACTTAATCTGTCTGGTTTACTTCCTCTTGAGTAGCCAGGACTATAGGTGTGTGCCACCACACTCGACTAATTAAAAAATTTTTTTTGTAGAGATGAGGTGTCACTATATTGCCCAGGCTGGTTTTGAACTCCTGAGCTCAGGTCCTCCTACCTTGACCTCTCAAAGTGTTAGTATTACAGGCGTGAACCACTGTGCCCAGGCCTGGTTTACCTTTCTTCTCTTTTCTTTTTTTTTTGAGACAGTTTCGCTCTTGTTGCCCAGGCTGGAGTGCAATGGCACCATCTTGGCTTACCACAACCTCTGCCTCCTGGGTTCAAGCGATTCTCCTGCCTCAGCCTCCTAAGTAGCTGGGATTACAGGCATGCGCCACCATGCCCGGCTAATTTTTGTATTTTTAGTAGACTCGGGGTTTCGCCTTGTTGGCCAGGCTGGTCTTGAACTCCCGACCTCAGGTGATCTGCCCACCTCAGCCTCCCAGAGTGCTGGGATTACAGGCCTATCCACACACCCGGCCACCTAGTTTACTTTTCTAATCTTTAGTGCCTAGCATATTGCCTTGCATAGAGTGGGGACTTCATAAATGCATATTTTTGAATGAATAAGTTGTCTCAGACAGTAGCCCTTCTTAGAAGGGATGAATTTAGAGTTAAACTTCTTACCCATTTAAGCCATGTTGCTTGATCCTGCTATACCTTTTCAGTCCCCGCATCAGAGACTTCTCCTGGGCCTCCCCCAATGGGGCCTCCACCTCCTTCAAGTAAGGCTCCCAGGTCCCCACCTGTGGGGAGTGGTCCTGCCTCTGGTATGGAGCCCACAAGTTTCCCAGTCGAGTCTGAGGCTCTGATGGAGGATGTGCTGAGACCTTTGGAACAGGCATTGGAAGACTGCCGTGGCCACACAAGGGTAAGCCCTGGCGCATCAGAGGTTAGAGAGGGCTTCCATCCACAGCCAAATGCAGGAATGGCTCCCAGAGATAGACCCTCTGACCCAATGGATAATGGCTCTTAGTCCTTTTAGAGTTATGGACTCCTTCAGAATCTGCTAAGGCATTCCCAGAGAAATGAACACAGGATTTCAGGAGCATTAACAGACTTTTGAAGACCAATCAGTAGAAGATGCTGTGGGAACAAGAGTTGAATTCAGCTCCTATTAGTGAACAACCTGATTTTCTGTACCTCCATGCCATTCACAGGAGACCCGGCTGATTTTATTCTCAGGAAATTTATATTGTGCCCAGTTAGGGAGAAAGAAACCTCTTCTAGCTATAGTGTTTTCTTAGTTCTTAGAAAAAGAGATCTGAAGAATGTCTTTTTTTTTTTTTTTGAGACGGAGTCTTGCTCTGTCACCCAGGCTGGAGTGCAGTGGCCAGATCTCAGCTCACTGCAAGCTCCTCCTCTCGGGTTCACGCCATTCTCCTGCCTCAGCCTCCCGAGTAGCTGGGACTACAGGCACCCGCCACTTCGCCCGGCTAGTTTTTTTTTTTGTATTTTTTAGTAGAGACGGGGTTTCACTGTGTTAGCCAGGATAGTCTCGATCTCCTGACCTCGTGATCCGCTCGTCTCGGCCTCCCAAAGTGCTGGGATTACAGGCTTGAGCCACCGCGCCCGGCCTGAAGAATGTCTTAAAGGCAAAGTAGCATGGGTAATTTCACCTCTTTGGCTCTTAGTTTTCTTTTTGTGAAGTAATGCTACAGGATGAGCTTCTGAGAGTCTGAGAAGCCCCTGAAATTTTAAAATTCTAGTCATAGGAGGAGGTGGGTTAGGAGGACTGGTGGTGGGAAGATGAGAGAGTTCCATTTAATGGCCTCTACTTTTCAATGAAACATCAGGCAGTGTCAGAAGACGACAGCAGGGGAAGGAAGGCTTCATCAGGTTCTCAGTGGGGCCTCTAATCTTTGGGTAAAGAACCAGAACTCTAAAGTGTGGGCCAGAGAAAGCAGGTGCTTCCTATGTGGTGCTGCCCTCCTCTCTCTTCCCCTCATTGGGCTGGCAGCACTGAATTGGAGGGGGGCTTCTGTCTCTTAGAAGCAGGTATGTGATGACATCAGCCGACGCCTGGCACTGCTGCAGGAACAGTGGGCTGGAGGAAAGTTGTCAATACCTGTAAAGAAGAGAATGGCTGTACTGGTGCAAGGTATGGGTGGGTTCTTTGATATAGCCTAAATCCCTTGTCCTGCTGTGGTTGGCTGTGCTGGAGCAAGTGCTGAGATTTTGACTGACTGGGAGGGGAGGCATGGAAGCTCTTGTACCACAGGCTGCTTGCTCAATCCCCATCTCTCTTCAGAGCTTTCAAGCCATCGGTGGGACGCAGCAGATGACATCCACCGCTCACTCATGGTTGACTATGTGACTGAGGTCAGTCAGTGGATGGTAGGAGTTAAAAGATTAATTGCAGAAAAGAGGAGTCTGTTTTCAGAGGAGGCAGCCAATGAAGAGAAATCTGCAGCCACAGCTGAGAACCACACCATACCAGGCTTCCAGCAGGCTCCATAATCCTCGGTTCCGCAGACTCACCGGACACCATCTCCTATGCCTTGGAGGCCTTCTCTCACTTGGCTCCCTTCTTACCACCACCAAGACTGTCCCACTAGGCCTGACCCACCTATAAGGGAAGAGGTCCCACCTGGGCCAGAGGGAGTTCATGTGTTACTCGTAACATGCATTTCAATAAAAACATCTCTGTGGTGGGCCTTGGGTAGGAGAGATGAACCCTTCCTGTGCCAAGCTAGTCCCCTCTTGTGTCCTCGACTGCCGTGCCCTCTGTGCATCTGCAAACGTCTGTTCTCCCTTCTCCATTCATCAGGAAGGGATCTGCTGGGTACAGTCAGACTACTGCCTACCTCTTTTTCCCAAATTAGACTGAAAGCACATCCTGTGCTGGGTGGAGCAGCTCTGTGTTTGGATGGTTTCATTTTAGCATGAGAACAGACTCAAATAGAACGGGGAGACATTTCCCTCAACAAAAAGAAAGACAGTCCTATTTGCACTGTATCACCCTTGAGATACAGGTGTTACAGAGATTAGAACCACACTGAGTGGGATTTTTGCTGTATAAATCGAAGGAGAAAAAGACCAGATTACTGAGATTTGGGATTTTAACTGACATGCCAAACAAGCTGCTGCCTCATTTTGGGTTTCAGTGTGAACTCTAAGGTCTCTTATAACCCTTTGAGAGAGGTACTTGGTGGATTATCATGCTGTGAGAAGGGAGGGTACAAGGTTTTTGGTGTTGGAATGGAGGAACTGGTACTTAGAGGTGGTAAGCAGAAAAGGCATGGCGGGGAGACTGGGGATGGCTATAGGCTGGGACAGCCCCTGTTTTCCAAGAGTCCTGCTTTGGAATGGATAGGGGAGGGGTTGCTGGGCAGGGTCCTGGTTCCAGGAAGGCTGCTTCCTGGAAAGACAGGAACAGCCCTAGGCAGCGGCCAAGCTATCGCTGTTTATGGTTTGGAGGCTTATGTAACCTGCCACTGTAGTATGCCTCAGGTTCTAATTGCTGCTGGAAGTGGGCCTGGTGGGAACTGGGAATGGATCTGAGGCCTCTGAGCTTAACCAGGCCTGCCAGGGCCCTCAGCTGTGTGGCTGAGATGAGAAAATAAGCATTGAGAACACTGGAGCCAAGGCATTTCTTTGAATGTTTACTAAGCAGCCAGAAGGTGACTTACTCCATTCCCCAGTTCCAGCCCCTGAGCATAGAGGGTTTAGGGTTAGGAGGAGTACCACAGACCAAAGAGGAAGTAGAGTTAAGGGCTTGGCAAGTTGCCCACTCCTATCCCTGGTCTAGCTGCCTCAGAACTAAAGGAGGCCTGGAACTAACAAGTCACTCCCTTCCAGATTAGATGAGGCCAGCTGGCCTTTGGATGCCCCAGGAAGAGGTGGTGGCAGCAGTGGCATGAGGGATCCCTCTGTAACTCCACATGCTGGGTCATCTGCAACTGGATGAGATGTCCATTTCAAATTGAGCGTCATCTGGAGAGAGAAAAGGCAGGAGGACAGGTTGCTGGTCTGAGGATCTGCAGGCAGTGCAGAAACCCCTCTTGGAATTGAACCCCCACACTGTGTCACAGTGGCATTTGAACTCAAAGGCTGGGACAATTCTTAATTCCTGCTTTCCTTACCGGGTATCTCTTCCTCTGTCTCCTGCTCCTTCAGCTCCTCCAGCTTGGAGAGTGGGGCTGTTGGAGGAGTTGTGACCCTGGGAATCTGAGGGAGGCAGCAGGGGGGTGTCTGGGCAATGGGTGAGTTCTTGCACTCCAGCAGGAACTTTCGGTCGTAGATGATCCTGGTGCCTGTCAAGGGGTTGGGACTGAGGTAAGAGTCAGGAGCTTGGGTACAGAGGTGACTGGGGTCCCAGACTCAGGCCTTTTGGGGCCTGGACATGAGGGTGGTGTTGAATTTCCCTGTGTATCAAAGGACATCTGCTCCGAAGCCCAGCTAGGTTCTCAGCAGACAAGCTTTCATAGTGCTTAAAATCTTCCAGACCTAACCAAGATGTGGGTATAAAGCAAGTGGGGCATCCCAGCTGGTATAGGCAGGGGCTTTATGTTTGGGGGAACTTCAGATCTTGGCTCTAAGAGGAATACCAAACTTGGAGTTCAGGTACTTCATGCTGCTCCTCTACCACTCTGAAACCTCCTTGCTTTGGTCTCACCAGTGAAGGTGAGACCTAGACTAACAGCCTCAGGTGATTCAAGAAATGAAATAGTTGTGAAGGGTTCCACCCAGTGCTGTCACCTGGGCTATGTCCTACAGGGAGGAGAAACAGTACTGTTCTAATCCTGACCCCTCCCAGGTCCTATAAGGTTCATACTAGCTCAGAGGAACTTGGCCACATAATGTCCTCAAAGGGCCCTGCCCTGTTCCTCCCCTCCACTTCCACGTGGCATGAATCCCTGGGTTGGAAGCCCAGCAGCTCGTGATCCCAGGCTGCTCGCCCAACCAAACAGACGCCAGCCAGCAACACATAAATGGAGCAACTGCCCCAACTGTTCTAGCCATTGCACTTCTCAAGACCCAGTATTTCCAGCTGAGGTCACGCTCAGTAGGGGGCCCTGGCCCCTATTCCTAGGAAGCAAAGTCGTGAGGGGTAAGGTGCACATGTAAGGCACCAAGAACCCAGGCCACAATGAAGGATTACAGCCCAAACACACGGAAGTTAGGCTCATGGCCTCGTTGCATCACTTAGAAGTTTTTGGGAACTGAGCTTCCGCTCCAAACATTCTCCCCCAAAGCTACCTGTAGAGGGGCCTGCAGACAAGTCCTAGGCCTGTCCCTCCCCTACCCCCGACCCGCAACAACAAGCACACGCTAATATGCCCACAGCCTGTGGACCCCTGCCCGGCCCGCTGACCTCCCGGGGTAGTGGCGTATAGCGTGCCCCCCGGCGTGGTGCTGTAGCAGTCGGGCAGCTGGTCCCGGCCCCAGGGAATCGGGCAGCTAGTGGACGTTGACATAGCGAGCGGGGAGGGGCAGCAAAGTAACCGCCTGGCGTTGAGGTCGAGGGGCGCAGCTCTGAGTCTGAGGCGGACTCAACCGACCACGTGCAGCTGCTGGTAACACTAGAACAACATCATGCCCAGGGCGGGCCACCCGCGGTCACAACCTGACAGTCCCGCCCTATCTGATAGGAAACCTGCCCGGTTCAGAAAAAGCTGGAAATGCATCCAAAGTCCCAGGCCCCGCACCGGCTTCCAGTTCCTGCTGGCCCAGAGCTGGCCAACCTGCCTCTGAGTGCTGCAGCAGCTCAGCTATTTACTGTTCATAGCTGGGAGCTGGGGGCAGGTGAAGTAGGGCAAGCATTTTTATCCTGCACTAGTTCACCCATTCCTCGCCAAGTTTTGGATAGTAAAGCACTATGATTAGCCAAAGTCACACATCTTGCAGGAAGGGAAGCTGGGATTCAAATCTGACTGCATCTGATTCCAGGACTGTGCCCTTAAACCCAGCAGCATACTGCCTCCCATAAACAGTAACAGTACAAGGCCGGGTGCTCATGCCTGTAATCCCAGCACTTTGGGAGGCTAAGGCGGGTGGATTGCTTGAGCCCAGGAGTCTGAGACCAGCCTGGGCAACATGGTGAAACCTAGTCTCTACTAAAAATACAAAAGTTAGCCGGGTGTGGCAGCATACGCCTGTGGACCCAGCTACTCGGGAAGCTGAGGTAGAAGAATGGGTTGAACCCAGGGGGCGGAGGTTGCAGTGAGCGGATATCGCGTCACTGCACTCCAGCCTGGGTGACAGAGCAAGACCCTGTCTCAAAACAAAAACAGTACAGGGTGAAACATGCCTTGATGGCCTGGAGCACAGCAGGAAAGGGAAGGTCAGGGAGGGCTGGTCGTCTTTCTGAAGAAGTGGTACCTGGACTAATAAAAGGATGAGTCAAGTTTGGGGGCTACAGCTGAGGCATCACCAGTCAGGAGGCCTGCCCTTTGATCTCTCTACCAGTTAACTAAGGAAGGGCAGGGGGCTAGTGAGGAGGGCTTGGTCTTTAGTTAGCAGGAAAGAAAGGTCAAAGAGTTTGACCTTGGAGGTAAGTTTTTTTTATGTAGATATAGTGATAAGACAGGCTGGAGCGAGTTGGTGGGATTGGTGAAGATGTATATACACTGGAAATCTTGAATTCATCCAGCTGTTCTCTGTTTGGCTTCCTCAAAATCAGTACTGCCTCCACTGTCCCTTCCCCTCACCAAAAATTAAGTATAGACTACCTGACTGTACCCATTTATCAATATTCCCTCAGCTCTGGTTTCATCAGATTTCTCCTTAGGTCTGATTTCTTCACTCATTTAAGAAAATATTGCTTCTCAAACTATTTATTTTCTGAGATAGGGTTTTGCTCTGCTGCCCAGGCTGGAATGCAGTGGTGTAATCTCAGCTCACTGCAAACTCTGCCTCCTGGGCTCAGGGCATCATCCCACCTCAGCCTCCTGAGTAGCTGGGACCACAGGCGCCTGCCACCACAGTGGGCTAATTTTGGTATTTTCTGTAGAGACAAGGTTTCACCATGTTGCCCAGGCTGGTCTCAAACTCCTGAGCTCAAGTAACCTACCTGCCTCGGCCTCCCAAAGTGCTGGTATTATAAGTGTGAGCCACCACACCTGGCCAGCTTCTCAAACTTTAATGTGCATATAAATCATCTGGAGATACTGTTTTTTTTTTTTTTTTTTTTTTTTGAGACGGAGTCTCGCTCTGTCGCCCGGACTGGAGTGCAGTGGCCGGATCTCCGCTCACTGCAAGCTCCGCCTCCTGGGTTTACGCCATTCTCCTGCCTCAGCCTCCCGAGTAGCTGGGATTACAGACGCCCGCCACCTCGCCTGGCTAGTTTTTTTTATTTTTTAGTAGAGACGGGGTTTCACCGTGTTAGCCAGGATGGTCTCGATCTCCCGACCTCGTGATCCGCCCGTCTTGGCCTCCCAAAGTGCTGGGATCACAGGCTTGAGCCACCACGCCCGGCCGAGATATTGTTAAAATGAGAATTCTGACACAGTATTGGTCTGGGGTGAGAGTTTGGATTTTTTTTTTTTGAAACAGGGTCTCACTGTCACCCAAGCTGGAGTGTAGTGGTACAATCATGGCTCACTGCAGTCTCAACCTCCCGGGCTCAGGTGACCCTCCCACTTCAGTGTCCTGAATATCTGGGACCACAGGTGCATGCCACTGTACCTGGCTAATTTTTAAATTTTTTGTAAAGGTGGGGTTGCACTATGTTGCCCAGGCTGGTCTCAAACTCATGGGCTCAAGTGATCCTC